GCACTGACCCGGCAGGCCTCCTCAGAGGCGCCCGCCTCGCCCATGGCCGTCGCGGCCTCGGCTCCGTGCGCCTGCGCGGCGGCGCGCCCTCTGACCCCTCACACCAGAAAGCGCGGGAAGTGTCCACGCCGGGGCTCAGGTACAGAGAGCCGCGAGGCTCAGACCGCGTAGCGTTTTTGCAGCATTCTTGGCCCGAAGGACAAGGGGTGGGCCTGCGGGATCCCGCGTTGGCTCTTCTGGCTTAGCCCGGGTTGTAAACCTGTTAACTGCAAAGTAGAAGGACAGTGAGACCCACGTTTGAATGTCTGGTAGAATAAATCGAATCGGCCCTTTCCGGTTTGGCGAGGTATGTTAGATGAAGGGGCGACACATTCTAGTGAACGGACAGCGGGGGGGCCCGCTCCCGCGCTCAGCTCCAAGCTCCATCAGCAAAGGTCGAAGCTTTCTGACAACAGTCTGCTCCGGAGGTCTGCCTGCAGTGGGAGCCTTAGTCCAGCCCGCTGGTAAGGAACTGAGATGACCGCCATGAGCTCGGAGACACCACCTGGTCCATTCACTTGCCCCAATACGCCCAATGAGTTCGCAAACTACGGTGCAGCCTGTGGGTTCAAATGTACGGGTTACCGTACACGTAAGACTTCGTCTGTCTGAAACCGGCCGCAAGCTGCCCCTGCCCGAGTCTCCGGAGCACACGCCCCAAATCCTCGCCCCTGCCCCGGCCCAGGACCCAGACCTGGGCCCTCGATGGTGCTGCCCGAGGCATCCCGCCAAAAACCCCAGGCCGGCCCGTCTTCCCAGCTTCCACCCGGCGCAGGCGGCCTCAGGAGCTCAACACGATGGAAGACAGCTCCGCGTATTTGGCGGAACAGCCGCCGATCAGAGGGGAATTTTGTGGAGTGGGCGTAAAGATTCTAGACCACTTAAAACTGGCTGCCCGCCTCTTCTTGGCCAACACTCAACGCTGGCTAACCTCGCTGTCAACGGCCCCGAGCTTTGGCGCCCGAGAGACAGCGCAGGCGGGGAGG